TTTTGAAATAGATATAATATTATATTCCTCAGCTGATGCGTTTATCAGATTACCACTTGTACGCTTCGTCGGGCGGAATTGCACATCGGGTCCTTCAGGACATCCGCAAAAATTGGAGCGAAACGGAGAAGGGTAATTAGCAAATTAGCATGGTCTCTGCGCAAGGACAATACGCATAAGTCGAGTTTTTTTTTTTTTTTTTTTTTTTCCCCGGGTGTAAATCAAGAATTGCACATCCTCTACGTTTCGTCAGGCGGAATCGCACATCGTGTCCTCTGGGACAACCGTCAAGTTTGGAACGGTACGGAGAAGGGTAATTAGCAAATTGCCAAATTAGCATGGCCCCTGCATAAGGACAATACGATTAAATCGATTTTTTTATTATTATTATTTTTTTGGTAAATCGAGAATCACCTATCGTCTACGTGTCGTCAACTTCGTCAAGCGGAATTGCACATCGTGTCCTCCGGGACAACCGTCAAGATTGAACGATACAGAGAAGGGTAATTAGCAAATTAGCATGGCCCCTGCGCAAGGTTAACACGCATAAATCTATAATAATCGCAGATCGTCAGAAGGCACAGATTCACTGACACTGACAAAAACAACCCAAGATACAACGAAGATGAACATACTGAAAGTCGTTTCTGTTCACAAGCAGAATTCTGGCATATCAACACAATCAAATTAGGACTTTTTTGCTGTTTAATTTTTGGTGGCAAGGAATAGAATCTATCTGTATATATAATTATGTATACATATATAAACTGTACATCCCTGAAAATCGACGGACAACGGAGACCTTCCTACGGAGATGTCATAGCTCAGAATACTATCTTATAGACTTATGCTGAAGAGCGTAACAAAGTACTTGGTAGCTGTCAAGCTGAAGGTTCCCCCCCCCCCCCCCCCCCTTATGCCCGTTGAGAAATCGACTTCAACTGTCTGGAGTTCTGGTAAAGACATAAATCTGTAGAGCTCTATTCTTGTTTTTCAAGAAAAAAATAAAAAAATAAAAAAAAATCCACTAGCTTATCCTTTTATTCTAAGGAAGATATTTCCTGACTTTTGCAGAAAAACAGAGTTTAAGGACACGAATGACAGCACCCTGGGATGAGATAAAGAGCACAACTAGGCTGAGTAGGCTCCTGACCACACGCCAATCGCCTGATAAAACAGGGCTCGAACACGTGACCTAGTGACCTACGTCAGGACTCCTCGAGGAGAAGCCTGGACTGGAAAATGGCTCTCTTTTCGCCCCCGCCTTCATCCTTTTCCACAGGTACAAGAGTTCTTTTTCTTCATCATTTCCGCGGGAAAGGGAAAGGCTTGGCGGCCTTTTTTATCTTATCGATAACAATTCTTGGATTATATGCTGCTAGTCCGGGGTGGGACCAAGTGTCCCGATCCCAGCAGCAATCATTGCTGTCAGGATCTCTCAGACTGGTTCCTCCGGCGGGGGAAGGAGTGGCGGCCGCAGCAGCAGCCATGCTGCTGGAGTCCCCCCCGCCCCTGGAGTCCCCCCCGCCCGAAGAGAAGCGCCGACGACTGTTCTATTCTATGGCAAACGTCTCTATTGTAGAAAGCTCCCTCCTTTCTCTGCGAGGGGATGTGCTAGCCAACTCCCCCTGCGTTGGGTGCTTTATCCCAGCTCTGGTGCTCTCTCCCAATGACAAAGTCGTCTACTTTTCGCAGCAGACAGGCAGTAACGAGAGCGTGGTACGAAGAGCTCGACGGCGTGCTGTCCTCTCTTCTCCGCCTTCGTCCTCATCATCTTCTTCATCCTCTTCCGCGCAATCCTCAAGCAGCTGGTACGAGCTAGCGGATCTAACAAGCTGGAAGGGCGGCGGGCATTGGGTTACTGCCCTGGAAACTCTAGACGAGAACCAAACCATCGTGGCCAGCGTCAAAGACGGAGATCGGATTTGGAAGGTCAAAGTCAACGCTGGCGTTGACTTTGCAGATGCCAGGTCAGACTTCATCACCAACATTACTTCCCCCTCCTTTGGCATGGTAATGCACCCTCGTCGACCCATTCTCTTCGCCTCCGTGCCCCCATCCCGCCTCCTTAAGATCCCGCTCCCGCTCCCGGGGGGGCCCACTGAAGAAGGTGACCTGCCCCTGGAGCAACCAGAGGAGGAAAGCTTGCTGCTTGCCGGTGGCAACGTAACCGGCTTCCATTCTGCATTGAACGGCTCTGACGTCAGATTTGATCAGCCGCGGATCAGTTCACGATCTATATCATCCAACGGATCCTACCTTTACGTCGCCGACACACAGAACAAGGTGGTAAGCCGTGTGAATACGGAGACCGGCGCCACTACCACCGTTGTCTTCACTCAATTCGCTAATTCCACCCCTTATCTGCCACTAGCCACAGCGTTGACCTCCGATGACTGCAACCTTTTCGTCGCTGGGACCGTGGTTGCTGACCTAACGGTGACCGTTAGATTGGTATCCTTCAGTGCTCCAAACGGAAGGCCGCTGACGGCCACTGGCAGGCCAGTGGCCACCGTTAACGACCCTTCGGCTCAGACAGCTACCGGTAGTACCAGTCAGACACTGGGGATGACAGTCAGTGTGGCTCCTCGTCTGGTACTTAGCCGAATGGACGAGTACTTGTACCTTAGCACGGGTAACGGTCATATATTTGAATTCGAAGTCAACCGGAGCGATCTGTACCGTTGCAGCAGCACCGATCCCGCAGATCCGCCCGGATTCATTCGCAACTTCTCCTATTACTCTGCGGATCGCGACATCTCTCCAGCATCCTCCGGCAGTGGACCACCACCATCCCAGCCGCCTTCTTCTTCGAGTGGTGGTGAAATCCTTAGCGCCCCCTCGACCCGCCGCGGCCCCTCTTCTCCTGAATCTCCTCCTAGTTCGTCGTCGTCTATCCCGACCACCACCGGGGGGAAACAGCGTTTCAAAACGGTTCACGTTGTCGCGGTGGCAATCTTGGGATCGGCAGTCGTGGTGCTCGTGCTCGCACTTCTCGTGGTAGCTGTCAGGCGGAGCAGGTGGTGCGAACGGGACCGCGACGGGCCGGAGCAGCCGCTAACTCCTCATGCGCAGCTTCTGCACCACCATTCGCGCGAGCCGCCGCTGCTGGGAACGCGCATGGCGGCGGCCCGGCAGCTGTTCTCCCCGCGCGCTCCCGCACGACCTTCCGCCGCCGCCGCAGCAGCAGCTTATCCTCGTTTCCCCGTCTCTTCGGGGTCGCGGTCGACTCCCGCGTCCCCCCCCCTTTCTCGCGCTCCCGCCCCCCCTCACCCCCCCCCCCCCCCCCTTTCACCCCGCCCCCCCCCCCCCCCCCCCCCCCGACCCCCACCTGCAGCTCCGACCGGACCCGTCCCTCCCACCGAAGCTAGGTCTTCCGAGCCTCTCTCTTCCGCCCCGACCCCGTCCACCTCCTCTATCCCTCTCATCCCTATCCACCGTGTGCGCGCGGCCACTGATGGGTTCGCGAAGGGGCGCAAGTGGTCCATCGAGAACAGCTCCGCCGCTAATTACGATGCCCATATAGCCCTCGAGGGGGGCGGCGGCTCCAAGAAGAGGAGGGTCATGATTAAGGTATTCGAGGCCAACCTCCTGGACATCACAGTGCAACAACAGTTCGTTCACAACGTGGGCTTACTGGGGCAAATCTGCGACGAGCCGGCGCCGGCGCCGGTTGGATCTTCCCCCCAGGTCGGCGGAGGCGGCGGCGGAGTTATGGCCTGCATCTGCAAACCCTTGGGCTATTCCATCGACGGCAGCAAGGCCATCATCATTCAGCAGTTCTTTCCGTGCGGCAACTTTCTCGAACGTCTGGTTCCCGACACCCGGGCGGATCACGACTCCCCTCCTGTGTTCGAGTGGTCGTCCCGACTGTATGCCGTGCAGCAGATCGCTGGAGCGCTCAGGCGGCTGCACGGACTAAGCCCCCCTGTCCATCATGGCAACATCAAGAGCAGCAACGTGTTCATCGAGGGCCCAGGTTACCCGTACCTGCGCGTCTATCTGACGGACGCCAGGCTGTCCCGACCCACCAGGGCGGGAATGCTCGTCGATGAGGGGGGTTACCTGGCGCCTGAGTGCTCCTTTGAGCGGGATTTGACCACCCGCAGCGACGTGTTCGCCTTCGGGGTGCTGCTGTTTCAGATCGTCTGCGGCGCGGCGGCCATGGTGGATCTCCAGGAGATGGATCCTAGATCGGGATCGGGATCGGGGTTGGGATGGGGATCCTGGTCCGCGACGGCAGACAAGAGCCTCTGGTATGATGCCGCCGCCCGCGGGCGGGGCGCTCCGCGGGAGCGAGGAAGACTAATTAGCCTCGTCAAGTACGCGAGGAGGCAGATGGAGAGCCGAAGACGTGTTTCTGAGAGAACGGCAGATATGGTGGACCCCAGATTACGACGAAGACTGACAGAGGAAGAGCGCGCCAAATTGACCGAGGTAATGAAGCTGGCGTACACGTGTACTGATGAAAAGCCCGCCAGACGGATGAGTATTGCTGACGTGTACGAGACGCTCTGTCGAGAGCTCCCGCCTTCTGAATCGTTAGTATCTACGGCAATCTGAGAATACCCTCGGTAAGGGAAAAAAAAAAAAAAAAAAAAAAAAAGTGCCCTCAGTGTATTCGGGACATCCTTTAAGATTGGAAAAGGGATTTTTTTTCTTTTTTTTTTTTTTTTTTTTGGGGGGGGGGGGGGGGGGGGGGGGGGGGAAAGGGGGGGAGAAAGGAACACTACCATAGCATGGGCCTTTGAGACGGGATGACTGACACCCATAGATTGAGATAAATATTCCACTATTAAAAAGTGGAAAAAAGTTTAAACTTTAAAAAACAATTGCCGTCGACGGTGGCGTTGTCGGTGAGATAGTGAGTGGAAGCTTGTCGCTCACGTCGGAGTAGAAGTGTTCTCGTTGTTTTTTTTTTTCCCCCTTTCTTTTCTTTTTTTTCGTTTATTCTTTCTTGTGGGCTGGCGTGTCACTCACTCATACTAAGTTTTTTTTTTTTTTTTTTTTTTCCCTTTTTTTTTTTTTTTTTTTTTTTTTGTTTTTTTTTTTTTTTCCCTGAATAGTAGTTGAATATCGATTGCCAAGGCTTACACAAAGCCCGAGCATTTGCCACTAACTGCGCCTCTTGTCTATTTCCCCCATCCCCCCCCCATCGAGTATGGGGGGGTGGCTACGGCCCCACCGTACTCCATTACCACTGCCGATTGGGGGGGGG